GCTAGACCCCTGCCCACGGGGCAGGAGGAGCAGGCCGAGGGCTCGGCTCTGCTCCCTGCCCTTCCAGACCCCAGGAGGGAGCTGACCCCAGGAGAGGGGCGGCAAAGGGAGCAGCCCCGGCCCGAGGGCAGGGACAGGCTGGGGTTGGGGGACTGGAAGCCCACTAGGCCTGGCAGCTCTGAGTCACGGCAGAGACAGCCAAGAAATGCAGCTTCTGCGTCCCTGCTCCGCTGCAGCCCAGCAGGAACTCGGCTTAACCCCCCCCGGGGCCTGCGCACCCCTGGGACCCGTTCGGTGGGGCCGAGCCGGCCGTACCTTCGCTGTCTGGTCGAGGGAGGCGGTGGCAGCTCGCGCCAGGGGCCCCCCAAAGCCGCAGCACAGGTCGGTGATGGGGAGGCTGTGTCGGGACCAGACGTGGCGGGGGTCGGGGATCTGGGAGGGCTCTGCCTGCAGCACGCTGCGGGGGGAGAAGGGAGACGGGGTGGCACGGCAGAGCAACGCTGAGGGTGCCACAGCAGAGCAGCACGGAACTAGCCAGGGTTCTGCTTCCTCCGGGTCGGCTCTCCCGGCTGCGAGGGCCAAACAGGACACAGAAGCCATCAGCGGCCACAGCACCGAGGACGAGGGCCACTGTGGAGCTTCCCATCCCGGAGAACACAGATCTCAGCTGCCCCTAGCACAATCCACTGCGCACCGGAGCCGTACGGTTGGGAAACTCGGATGAGACACCAGGAAAAACCTCTGGCAGCGAGGATAACAACCGTGGGTGAGCCGCACGGCGAGGGCCCAGGCTCCACAGCCCCGGACGCGCTGGCTAAGGCAGAGCCGATTCCGCCTCCGGGAAGCGGTGGCTGATCTCTTGTCCTAATATTCCTCGCCCAGCTGCTCCCTGTGTCCCGTGCGGATGGGCCGGGACCTCCCCACGGCCCCCTGTTACCTGTAAAGGTTCCACACCAGGGCCAGGCAGTCCTTCGCCCCAGAGAGAAAGTGGCTGCTGTCGTCGGTGAAGCAGAGGCATGTGAGGTCCTGGTAGTGTCGGTTCAGGATGGCCAGGAGATTCCCGTTGGAGACCTAAAGCAAGGGAAAGGACAGGAAAACATGAGGAAAGGAGCACCGAGATGCTGCGGGGATAACGCGGCGCGCGGTCCTCAACGGCGTCGGGTGCAGCAGAGCGGAGAGGCCCCATGGAGAGGCCCCACGCGGGATGCGGCGGAGGGAAGGTTGCGTCGACCACGCGAGCCTCCTGGCACCACGGCAACGGGCACCATCGAGGTGCCACCAGCACAACCGCAGGCCTACGACCGAGGGTCCTGCCAACGTTCACCCTGGAACCTAGTGATGTCGGTGCCGCCGCTCCGGTCAAGACCCAAGCAGGCAGTAAAGAATTCGCCTTACTCTGATGGCGTCTTCCAACCTCCCACAGCGTCCCAGGCAGCTAGGGGGGTGGGGGGTGGCGTTACGAAAGCCGCAGGAGGTCACGTGCCACCCCAGGGGTTGCTGCGCTGCGGTCTCGGGCCAAGGGAGGCGTCAGGGTGGATGGGGAGTTCCCTAAACCCGGAGCTGCTCTTGTTCAAAGGCCACACTGCAGATGGGGAGGGAACTTAGGGGGCAGCCCCACAGGAACCAACAGAATCGACGTGCTCCCATCGTCTGAATTACACCCAAACCCAAGCTGCAATTCCAGGGAGCACAAGCGGTTTCCCAGGGAAGGCACAGAACTCGAGCTCCTGGGCCCATTCCCAGCTCCGTGACCGTTCCCACGCTGCCTCCCCGAGGTGCCATCCCTCTGCCAGGAGCAGAGTGGATCCCCAGCTCCGGAGAGACGCTCGGAAGCGTTTGCGAGGAGAGCCGGGAGCAGGCGGAGAGGGCCACGTCCTGCAGAGGAAGCAGAGCAGGGAGCAGCACGCAGCCCCACGAGCACGTCGCTCCCGCTGCTGCCGCCCGGCGTTCCCTGCGAGGGCTTTTGTTTACCCCAACGTTGCCACAAGCCCGATTTTTGAAGAGAAATTTCAGGGATTAAGACGGAGCCGCCCACACACCACGGCCCAGAGATGTCCCCCCCGGCCCGAGAGCTTCCCAGGTTTGACATCTCGGGGTTTAATCCCGGGGCTCAGAACAAGCTTGTGTTTTATTCACTCGGGAAAGGGCTTAGGAAGCAGCATAATTCCCACATAAACACCCCACTAATTAAAAATAGCAGGATGATGTCCAGCAGCCCCTGTGGACACCCAGGTCACAAGTCACCCACCGACGTTCGGCCGAGGCGGGGAAGAAGGGCTAAAGGAAAACCAGGCCCTGCGTTTCTGCTTCGAGGGAGCTGCCCCTGAGGCTTCCGTAGGCGTTTGGGGAGAGAAGGAACAGACCTAAACCTCATCCAGCACCTCCCACAGCAATTTCTTCCCCCCACCCCAGCCCTGATGAGCTGTCCTGGGGTCTCCACGCCCACGGAGAGCACCGAGCGGCCGGCCTCAGCCCCACGGGGCGACGCAGGGCCCAGCCCACGCCAGGACACGGCCCAGCAAAGCCTTTGCCCCACGGCGGAGCCCACGCAGGGTGG